AAAGGATTTTTTATTGCTGAAATTAAGGAAATGCACATGCATTTAAAAGACTCCTACTATGCTTATGGAAAGATAAGGTCACTGTTATATGACAACAACCATCCTTGGGTATTTCCAAGAGGAAAAGCAGACTTTTGCTGCTATGATTATTTAAACCTGAAAGCAAGGTTGAGCTTCTCAGATGGGATGGGTGGCTCTTCACAGGTAGGGAAAGAAAAGAAATGGAGCAGTATCTGAAGATGCCAGTCAAGGAAACCAGTGCTATTACATGGAATGGTAGCAGGAGTAAATGAAGGAAGCACAGGGGGTTTGCATCTGACTTACCTCTTCTTTACACTTACTCTGCTGCCCATGGCTGATCAGTTTGTGGCAACCTGGGCTCTGTGGGTTAGGGAACAAAGTTCCAAGCAGAGGCACTGGGCAGCACAGCTGAGTTTATGTGAACACTAGGCCTCCTTTAAGTGAAAAGGTGGAAGTTCTCTACTGAATAGGGAAAGAAAAAAAAAAAATCACATGCTGAGGTTGCCAAGATCTATGGTAAGAACAAACCTCCTATCTGTGAAATTGTGAAGAAGGAAAAAAAATGTGCACAGTATGTATAGGGTTCAGTACTATCTGCAGTTTTAGACATTTACCTGCGGGGGCGGGGGGTGGGGTATTAGAAGGTATCTCCCATGGATAAGGGAGACTATTGTACTTGTTAATGTTTTTTCCTTACAAGTATGCTTCCACATCTTTTTTTTTTTTTTGAGTTGGAGTCTCACTCTGTCCCCCAGACTGGAGTGCAGTGGCTGCGCCCAGGCACCGCAGTCTCTACCTGCTGGGCTCCAGCGATCCTTCCGCCTCAGCCTTCCAAGTAGCTAGAACTACAGGCGCACGCTACCCCACCCGGCTAATTTTTTGATTTATTGTAGAGAGATGAGGTCTTGCCAAGTTGCCCAGGCGGATCTCCAACCCGTGGGCTCAGGCAATCCACTCACCTCAGCTTCCCAAAGGCGCGGGATTACGGTCTGAGCCACTGAGCCCGGCTTTCTTTTTTTTGATTTTTAAACCGAGTCCATAGGATTTCACAAGGTTGTCCTTTGGGCTTTTGTTGTTGTTGTTGTTAAACATATATACCTTGACTCAGAATAGTGAATATGATGATGACCTTTTTTTTTGGTTAGAGGACAGAAAGCTGAGTAGCATATTGGAAAAAGCATGAATTTGGAAGGCAAAACACTTAAACAAATGGGTGCTCTTCGCTAAGTTACTTAAATTTAAAGATCCTAAGTTTCCTCATATATAAAGTAGGGAAACATTATCTACCTCATAGGATGTTTGGGAGGATTGTGTGCAATAATGGTTATTGAAGTGCCTAGCATGTAATGGGTAGCCAGTAGATATTGGTGCCTATCTCCCTTTTTCTGCCAGTATCCCCTGTTGCAAGTTTCCAAGCTTTCTCATTTCCACAATTTAATAATTCTCATTTCTTGGACATTTTTCTTTCCTGAACGTTTTGTGTTCTGTCTGAAGATAAGCTGAAGAACCAGATAAGTTTGTGTTAGTTGTTTACATGAAGAATAGTATTAATGATGAGTTAGAATACCCTTTTTTATATTATATGTTTGTGACCACTATGAACAAATGGTTATAAGGCTACATATAGTTTTAACTTATTTAAGCAAATCCATTTTCTGCTTCAAGTAGTGTAATTAATACTGAACGGAGTTGCAACATGGTGTTACACACACACACACACACACACACACACACACACACACACACACCCCCTCATACATATATATGTACGCTATATGATCGCTGTTTGGAGTTTAATTTTGATGTGTAATATATTGAATGGTTACTCTTTCTGTTTTAGTTAAATCAGTTTTAAAAATATTTTATTCTAGGTGCTGGAGATATGACAAAAAAATTGGGTCCTTGACTTTGAAAAGCTTCTTTTCTGAAGTGAATTATTTTTAGTCACAAAATTAATAAGTGAAATTTCTTATAGTATTTTTTTTGCTTATACATACATATATGCCATATATCAAGGAATTTTGTTGTAATAGAGTATTATAATTTTAGGGGAATGTTTTAAGCCATAGCTTTGATTTTCAAATGCAAAAATTCTTTTTTATAGATCCTTTTAGAAGATTAAATGCAAAAAAATTGTTAGATCAGACACTGATTTCATTCCATTTGCAGTGTTCTACAAAGTTATTATTTGCTACAACTTAATTATTTTATATAGAATACTTTAGTTTTGGAGGTGTAGCATTGACTTATAGTTGAAAATATTTTTAATTCATTCAGTAAATATTTTTTGAGGACCTCCTGTACTCCTAGGTTCTGTCTTAAACCAGCCTGGCATAGGAATTTGACCTAGTGCCCATATCTATTCCTCTTCTTTATGCTGTATATTCAGAATTGGGGACTAGAACTATAGAGATCAATAGATTGATCAAGAGAATGAGAATTTATTTGGATTTAGCAACTAGGAAGGGGTCATTAATGACCTTGAAAAAAGATTTCTTTACAATATTTGGGAGTAGAAGAGCTCATTATAGGGGCTAAGGAAACGGAATAGTAAGGAAATGGAAGTATCAAGTACACGCTATTCTTCTTGGTATTTTGGTAGTGAGTGGAAGAAGGGAATTTACCCAAGGGTTGGAAGTTTACCAGAAACAGGGAGGTAATGTAAAAATAAGGGATATATGAAGGTTGTAAGAGAGAGTAAGGAGTTAGGAATCAATTGTTTAAATTCCTTAAAGAGAGATCATTGAAACCACAACATCCTGTAGGAACCAAAGAAAGGTAGTTGTTAAGGCATAAGTAAAAGAAGATTGGACTTAGAAAAGTAGAGATTAAACTTTTCATTTGATAAAAGTGAAAAAGATGAGAATGATTGAAAATAAACGTATTTTAAGATGGAGCAATGGGATTTTTAAGGTCAGTTTCAAAAGATAGCCTTTAATCTTCTTATAAAGTAGAAAGTTGGATCAGTTTTTGAATGGAGTATAGAAAGGGAGAGATGGAAACTTAAATAGGAAAAAGATTCTGCCATGGAAACATACTTGGAAATCAGTGAGTTGCAGCAGTGACTCCCTAATTGTTAGTAGTGTGGATTTTATAGACCAGTAGCATCCTAATGTTCTAAAGCAGGAGTTGGCAAACTATAGCCTGAGGGCCACATTCAGCCCATGTAGTCTGTGAGTTAAGAATAGTTTTTGTATTCTTAATTGGTTATAGAAAAATAAGCAGATAAAGAAAGGAGAATGTGTGACAGAGACCTAATGTGACCTTTGAAGCCTGACATATGTGGTATCTGGCCCTTCATAGAAACAGATTGCTAACTCTTGTATAGCCCAGGATCAGAGAAACCAAATGATAATGTGCCTTAGGTGGGAACTGACATGCCAGAGATGATTAAAGGTCAGAGGGTGATAAAGGAAGGGATACTAGTTAGGGTTGTTTTTTTTTTATGGAGGTGGTTAGTGGGTACAGGCTGAATAGAGATAAAGGAAAGCCCGAAGAAAGCTAATAGATTGGATGAAAAGGGAAGGATTTGTGGCTAGGTGTCATATGAGAATGGTCACTTGGCTTGACACAAAGGTGACAGTAAGGAAGTTGGAAGTGGAGAAAGGAGACCTGATTGGTTGTTTTGGAGCTAGATGTGTTCCAGAGATTACCAAGTATAACCATTTCTGGGAATAGCTAAAATCTCCAAGGATAATGTCAGGGTGATGAAGCATTGGAAGTATATGGTCAGATTCCTCAAGATGATGACAGGAGACTGTGTAAGAAATAATATAAGTTAGGTTACTGGAGTTTTTTTAAAAAGTAGAAATGAGTCTGGAGTATGAGGTAGATTATGGTAATAGTGTTATAACAACCTAGTGTAAAGTAGGTAAATGATTGGAAATATGATGGGAGCAGTTAAGTGATTCTCTCTTTGCTCTGGCAGCTGAGGGTAGGCTGTCCCTTCCTCTTGGCTTGGTAAGTGGTAGAAGGTAGATTAAAAAGCTGCAGAAAAGATGTGGCATTCTCTATTGTACATCAGATTTACATATACATAGTCTTTGAGCATGGGAGGAGAAAAGTAATAGATAGATTTGAAGTTGTAAAATGAAACTCTCAAAATAAAAGTAGTTGATTTTTGCATAGATGTTTAAATGTTTCACTTGTCTAGCTAAATAAAATAATTTTTATTTAGCATTAGTAGTTTCACTGTGCAAAATTCAGTTTTGCAATAATTAAATTATTAAGGGATTAATACTAAAATATCTCTTTTTGCTTAACTGTGAACAAAGGCAAAAACAACTTGGCAGGTAACCTTCATTTAAAATATTAAAACTGTCTGGATTGGGTTACCAGGTAACTAGTAGCTACAGATTACTTGGGCATAATAGTGGTCTTTCCATGATAGCATTAATGTAGAGTCTATACTGTAGTATGTGATCTTTATTATTATACATACATATAGGAATATATTTTAACCTTAAATGCATAATTTTTATTTGTCAATTATATCTCAATAAAGCTGAAAGACATAGAGAGCAGTGGAGTCCCTGGCCTCTGAAAGATGAAACAGGAGCCCTAGGCAGTTGCTTTGCTGTGTTTTTCTATATTGATATGCAAGGTGATTCCTGTATATGGCATAATTGAATAGTGTTTTCTGAAAGGAAGAGTCTTTTCTGTGCTAAGGAATAAAAATATGGGAAGCAGCCAAAAGCTACATTGCTAGAAATTTTTACTGTGCTAAGTTGAAGTTACTGATTCCTCTTATAAAAATTTCTTTAATTTTTTTTGAAAATTAAACTACTTCCTGATACTATGAAATCTTAAAATACCCAAACTTTAATTTTAAATAATACCTTTATTTTAAGTGGTTTTCAGTGAATAACCATCGGGAATGGTTTTAAAAATCAAGTAAAAATTCTTTTGAGTCATAAGAAGACAACGCCTTAATTGTGTCATTTACTTTAATATTGTTTATTGTTTTTTCTCAGTTCCTATTGTAAAGAATATAGCAAAAACACAGTCTTCTCCTTCCAAAGTGACCCAGTGTTCAATGCAGTCTCCACAGAAAACTTCTCTAATAGTACCAACAAAGCAGATCAAGAAATCAGGTCGAACTAAACCACCTGGACATACTACAGTCCCCAAAAAGGGCAGTCCACTTAAAAATCCCACACCAAAGAAAAAAGGTGTAAACTCAGGAAAAAAGGTTAGTTGTACCTCTGCTAATTTGTATTGTAGGTCTTTGTAGTGCCTTATTATTTATAACATACTTAGGAATTTACTGAGCATGTGATGAGGGTCGTTAGGAATGTACTAAGAGTATGTAGGCTCTGTGAGGCTTCACATAGCTATCAATAGATTGGTATTTGCATGGGTAAACTTAAAACTTTTTTTTTTGAGACAGGATCTTGCTCTGTTGCCTAGGCTAGAGTGCAGTGATGCAATTATAGCTCACTGCAACCTCAAACTCCTGGGTTTTAGGGATCCTCCTGAATTACAGACACACACCACCATGCCCAGCCAATTAAAAAATTTTTTTTGTAGAGATTAGGTCTTGCTGCATTGCTCAGGCTGCTCTTGAACTCCTGGCCTCAAGCGATCCTCCCGTCTCTGCCTCTCAAAATACTGGGATTATAGGCATGAACCATTGCAACTGGCCAAATTTAAAACTTTAAAAAATGTTCTACTTCTTTAAAACCACATATAAAGTACCAATTGTGTATATTTATGTTCAGGCTAGTTAATTTAAAACTTAGTATACTTTAAAAATCAATGTGAAGTGAATACTACTGAACATAAATTATGCCTCAATAAACTGGAGTGAGGAGAGAAAAAATTAATGTGATAAATTTAGTAATTAATGCTGGAATTAAATTCTACCTCACTGACTCCCTCAGAGCAAACAACTCTAAAACTTGAAAATAATAGAAAAATCAGCTACCTGAAGACACTGAAGAGCAAATGGAAGCAGACAGATTCTAGTGGTTGGGGTGGGAGGGACATACACTAAGAGAAAGGGTGTTATACAAAGTGACTTTCCATTTTTGTGGTTTTGAGCCTTGGGGTCAAGTGTGCTTTGTATAGCATGTGAAGTAGTGTTAGTAGAAAAACCATAGTTTTTCTGGCCTGGGGAAATCAGAAAACAGAAGCTAGGTAAACTGTGGCTGCCGAAGGGAATGGAGGGATCTTGGATGGGAAAGAACCAGAGAGGGGATCCCCAAACTCTCTCTACCAATGTCTCTGATAGATCCCTGGTCTGAGTGTGTTTGTCAAACATACACAAGTCAGCTTAGCTAAAGCAAAAGGTCTGAATTGAGACTGGATGGAATTAGGCTCAAGATTGGAGTTTAAACTTAAAGTCAAACCAAGACAATTACTAGCTAAAACAAAAGAAACAATACTCATCAGAGAAGAATAGAACCCAGACAAATTAACATTCATAATGCCTGGAATGCAATTCAAAATTACCCAGATATAGAGATAACAGTAAAATGAAACACATTCTCAAGAGAAAAAAAATCAACTGAGACAGATCTGCAATATGACCCAGATATTGGAAACAACAAACAAAAAAAAAAATTTTTGGCGTCAAGGACTCACTGTCACTCAGCTGGAGTGCAGTGATATGATTGTAGCTTACCACAGCCTCGACCTACTGGGCTCAGGTGACTCTTCTGCCTTAGCCTTTCCAGTAGATGGGGCTGTAGTTATGTACTACCATTCCTGGCTAATCTTTTGATGTTTTGTAGAGATGAAGTCTTGCTTTGGTGCCTAGGCTGACCTTTAACTCCTGGGCTCAACCAATTCTCCCACCTCAACCTCCCAAAGTGCTAGGATTAATAGACCTCAACCACCATGCCCAGCTGCAAACAAAATTTTTAAAGTGACTATTCAACTGTCTTCAGTGAGGTTACACCACACACACAATTTAAGTGATTAAAAAGATAGGCCATCTTAGCAGAGAAACAGAAAAAAAAAAGGAGACAAATGGAAATTCAAGAACTGAAAAATATGATATCTGATGCAAATTATTTAGTACACAGAATTAAGTAGAATTGACTGGAGATGAAAGAAAAAAGAGTAATTGAACTGGAGGATGGAAGAGTAGAAACAGTGTGCAGAACTCAGACAAAATTTTAAAAAATGGAGAAAGATAATGAACAGAGACTCAGTGATCTTTTAGGTAATATCAAAGGTCCAACACATATGTAATTGGAGTCCCAGAAGGCAAAGATAGAAACTGGGGCAGAAAAAAAGATTTGAAGAAATAATGTCTCTAAATTTTCTGTTAATAGGTTTCATGAAAGATAGAAATATACAGGCACAAAATACTCAGCCAAGAACAAACAATAAACACAAAATTCTGAGTCAAACTGTTGAAAAACAGAGACAACAAATATTAAAGACAGCAATGTATGATAAAAATGAAAAAGTACACATAGAGAAACAAAAATGTAATTAACAGCTGACATTTCTCATTACAAGCCATAGAGGCTAAAAAAGAGTAGAACAACATTTTTAAAGTGTTGAAGAAAAAAATTTCTCAACCACAAATTCTATATCTGTCAAAAATACTCTTTGGATATTTATAATTTTTGTCAATTATACTTCAACAAAGCAGAAAAGAAAATACTACTTAGTTTATAACTTAGTCTGTAGTTTTTTGTCATATAATTAGTACACTCATCTAGTTTACTCTTATTTCTTGATATTTTATGATTTTTGTTGCTATGGTGAAGAGAATCTTCCCCATTATACTTTTCTACAAAACAAAAGTTATAAATATTAGCTTGAAAAAAGAATGAAGGTGAACTAAAGACATTTTCAGATAGAAACATTAGATAATCACTGACAAACCAACACCACAAGAAATGCTAAAAGGAGATTCATCAGATTGAAGGAAAATGAGACCAGAAAGAAACCCAGATCCTCAAAAAGGAAGAAATAGCTTTGAAGATGGTAAATCTCTGGGTAAATGCAAAAGACTCTCTTTTTTGCTTTTTTCCTCTTAATTTCGTTATAATAATGTGACTATTTATAACAATAATTGTAATTGCATTTTTGTCAAACAGATATAATTCATAAAACAATAATAGTATAAAGGCCTGAGGTAGGGGATACAGATCTATTATTGCAAAGTTTCACCATTTTATGTAAGGTAGTACAATATTAACTCTATGTAGACTGAAAAATTAAGATGTACATTGTAATCCCTAGTGCATATTGTTTACAGAATGCAAGGAAGTAGATCTAAAAAAACCAATAGAAAAATTATAATGAAATTCTAAGAAATATTTGAATATTCATATATATTCAATATAAAATATTCTAAGGATATTAAAATATTTAAAAAGACAGAAAAGGAGGAAGATAAGAACAGAATGCAAATGAGAAATATAGAAAACCAATAATAAAATGGTAGACCCAGAACCAAGCCTAGTAATAATTGCATTACAAGTTAGTGGACTAAACTATCTAATGAGGAGACAGAGTTTAAAGACCCGAATGTATCTTGTCTACAAGAGTTGCATTTTTCTAAATATAAAGACATAGAATCTTCTCAGATTTATTGACAGTTATGACTGGATTAAATTTTAGCAGTATTATCATAAACATTCCTGAGTTCAGCCATCTGATATCAGTTATCTATAACATTTCTATTTTGTTTTAAAGAATGTTTACTGTATGGAACAAAATAATACCATTATGATTTTAAAACATTTATACTGATACATATATTTTTATTTTTATTTATTTATTTATTTATTTATTTATTTATTTATTTATTTATTTATTTATTTATTTATTTTTTGAGTTGGAGTCTCACTCTGTCGCCCAGACTGGAGTACAGTGGCCGCTCCTGGCCACCGCAGCCTCACCTACTGGGCTCCGGCAGTCCTTCCGCCTCAGCCTTCCAAGTAGCCGGAATTACAGGCATGCGCTACCACGCCCGGCTGATTTTTTGATGTATTGTAGAGATGAGGTCTCGAACCCGCGAGCTCAGGCAATCCACTCATCTCAGCCTCCCAAAGGCGCGGGATTACAGGCTGAGCCACCGAGCCTGGCTTATTTTTATTTAAAAACATTAAAAAATTTACAAAATCAAAAAATTCAGAAATAAATGTTTCATATATATAGTATGAACATAGAAAAAATCAAGTGGATTATTCTAAGGTAAATGGTAGCAAATGAAAAATTTTAAATAAATAAAAATAAAATTAATAAAAGTGTATTTAAAGTGAAATAATATTTTACTTTAAATGCATTTTAAAAATGAACACGCATGTATATTTTCCAGCTGCTAAAAAGGCCTTTTTTTGCGGGGGAGATATGGGATCTCATTCTTTTATCCAGGCTGGAGTGCAGTGGCTCGATCATAGCTCACCATAACCTCAAACTCCTGGGCTCAAGTGATGCTCCTAAGTTGCTAGGACTACAGGTGTGTGACACCACACCTGGCTAACTTGTTAGTTTTTTGTTTGTTTAGTTTTGTTTTTGTAGAGAACAGGTCTTGCTGTGTTGCCCAGGTTTGAAAAACATCTTTGTGATCAGTTGGTATAATGTTGAAGATATAGCTCCAAGTAGTTTCCTTTGACTCTTATTTTCCAAATGCAATGCTAATTTGATAATTTTGAAGAGCTCTTTTTGAAAATGTTGTTTATTTAATGATGGGGAGGGAGAAGGGACAAGCACTGTAATCTTTTAAAAATTTATTTTATTTTTAAAATTTTTAATTAATTATTACGAATACACAGTAGTTGTACATATTTATGAGGTACCTGCACTATTTTGATACAAGTTGTCATTTTCTTCCTCCTCTTAAGGGTTTTAGAAGTATAGAAGTACATTTTCTAAATAAACGTACCTTATTCAATTTAACATGTTCATACACACATACTGTCTTGGTATATCTTAAAGGATTCAGATTTCAGATTTTTGAAATTTTAAAAGAATGAGATTGTCAGCACAGTAATTTTAATTTAGGACTTAAAAATAACATGATTATAACTGAGCCCTTGAGCCCAGGAGTTTGAATCCTGCTTGGATAACATAGCGAGACCTCTCTCGAAGTTAAGAAACAAAAACATGATTTACTACAACACAGTGCACTCAACAACAGTCATTCATTTAGGCAAATACATTCCAACAATATTGAATGTTATCCTATTTTTTACTGTTTTGTCCCTACCTTTTAAATGTCCTCTATTATTACTTTTTCTAAGCACAAGAGTCCCTTCTGTGATATTGGAAAATCATGTTTGAAAGTAGCTCCTAGAAAGCCCCAAGAGTTGATATTAGGGAAACAAAGCACTAGTGATGTTTAATAATGCTCAGGAGACATTTGGTTCTTTTTTTTTTTGACATTTGGTTCTTATATGCAATAGGCATAATCTTATATAGACTCTAGCAAGTCACCTGTTATAATTTTATCAAAATTACTGTATGCAATATGGAAAAATGTGGGCTAGACAGAATGAAGACTGACTGGATGAGCCAACTGCTTGCTAAACACAAGTTCTATTCTCTGCTTTGTTGAGATTTTCTATTGGATGAATTGCTCTGGATTAGAGATTTACAGATATTTCTTTAGCATTGTAAAAAACAAAAAACAAACTTGTCTTACAAGGGAACCTCAAAAATAAAACAAGTTTTACAGAGTAAATGAATTTGGCTAAGGGGTGTGATCAGTTGGAATCAGAGGAAGGGCAGGGAACCCAGCCTTTTGGTCTCTTCCTCCTACCTGAACAGTTCGTGGGCCTCTGAAGAGTTCACTTTGGAAAGTACTGCAGTTCATGATATACACAGGGGTTTCTAAGCTTGAAGACTTCTGATAACTGATACTGATAATTTTGTAAACCAATGATGTCTGTAATTTTCTGACTTTTCCTATCTAAGACTATTTTAGTGGGTAATGTATACTTGTGTTTCTTCCCTTTTTAAACAGGAAAAATGTCTTCCTGTAGTATGTTCTACATCTGCAACTTCTCTAAAATCACTGATTAGAAACCGTAGCAATTTATATAAGGAAGTTGCACCTGGGCCATCTAAAATAGTGATGTCTACAGGTAAATTAGTATTTTTAAGAAAGTACAATAAAATTGCTAATCTTATTCTGTATTATTTTCAATGCCTTTGAAATCCTGGAAATAAAGTAAGGAAAAAAAAAGATGATAATAGTAAACATTTCTTTTAGCATTTTTCATATTAAAGTATTTTAAAATTCTGTTTTGTTCAGTTTTATATTAAGAAAAAACAGTCTCTTTAAATATATGAGTCACTTGAAAATCCAGTTACTCTTATTTGATCCAGAATGGTAAGATTTGCGAAATTTACATAGTTGTTTCTATTCTTGTTTTTCCTTTATCTTATTTCAAAATTTAGCTTGTATTTTTGTATTGTATGTATTTTCAAAGCTACCTAACCCCCCCACCCCCTTTTTAAATGATGGGGTTTTGCTTGTTGCCTAGGCTGGTTTTGAAATCCTGGCCTTAAGCAATCCTCCCACCTCAGCTTACCAAAGCACTGGGATTACAGACATGAGCCACCATGCCTGACTTAAACCTTTTCATAATGTCTTTAAAAAAATACCTTTTCCTGACAGGTCCTTTTCATGACAGGTCAAGGAGCATGCTGACTAAACTATTTTCTGTTATGTGAAGCGTTTGAAACAACACAGATCCAGACAAATAAATCCCTTTTATTTATCACCTGCACATTATTATTTTCCTTTTTTTGTTTTGTATTTTTGGTAAAGTATGTTCTATTGTTTCCTCTCCTTACCTCCCTTATGCTCTTCTATTCCCTGAACTTTTTTTATCCTTAATTTTTCTTTCCTGACTAAAAATAAATAATAATTTAATTTTCAAAACTAGAAGTCACCTTAAAAATGATTATTGTAACATACCTCATTTTTTCCATTTATTATTTCTGGGTTTTAATTCATTGCCGAGAGATAGTAGATAAATAATATAACAAAAAAGAGATGAAACATTGAAATCTTGTTTAGCTTCACTTGTGTTCAGGAGAATTCATCTATGCTATCAGCATCTATGCTATCAGTAGGTTGAGTTTTAGTAGCTGTTTCATTTATTTGGTATAGTTCATTTTGACCATTGCCACAAAATTGAATTATCATATGTTTCAACCTAATAAAACTGAGATTAATAGGTTTTTATTATACTAAATATAGACTGTATGTGACATTTTAACAGTTTTAAGTAATGGATTAAAAGTAACATGCTTCTTGATTTAGGGGGATAATTCATTTTCATTTTGGCCATGATGTGCCCTCATGTTTTACAGCATATGGTGATTTGCGTTTGTTGATTCTTAGTAAAGAAAAATTATTGAGCGTTGATATTTGTGTGAGGATAGATGAATTGATTCTATATCATATGCTTTAATTATCCTAAGGAAAGAATTTATTTTAAAATTTTCTTCAGTGAATCTTTGTATATATAGAAGGAACATTTTTATTTTCTTAAAACTAGTGAAATATATTTCTTTATGGCATTAGAACTTGTGATATATATCTTAAATTACATGGTTACATTAGAAAACACAATTGAAGGTAATTGTTGGTGATTTAAAAGGAACTCAGTCCAACAAAGAGTATAGCAAAATGACCGATTTTGAAAGAAAATTCTTTTATTTATATACAGTTAAAAGATGAAAATATTTATCCATGTGCCATTTTACAGAGTGTAAAAAATGTATGAAGAAGTGCTTTGCAATGCTCCTAAAACTTCTATAGTTCTTCTGTGGGCAAGAGTCTAAAAAATTGAATAAACGTTTTGATTGTTTCTTTGTAGGTTTAATATCTTTATATGAATGTAAAAATATATTTACCTACATATTTTTAGGTAACATAAGTGATCATTGATATAAATAGAACGATATTTAGATTCTATTTGAGTGAAGTGGCCAGTGGGATATTGTAATTGATTATGTAGTGTTTTCACAAAATTACTTTTAATTAATTTTATTGTTTGTTATGTCTGTATATACATTTTTCTTCAAGTCTGTGTCTATATAAACAAACATGGAAACACCGGCCCTTACCTGGATCCCAAGAGAATCCAGCAGCTGCCTGACCACTTTGGCCCAGGCCCTGTGAATGTGGTGCTCCGCCGGACTGTGCAGGCCTGTGTAGATTGTGCCTTTCAGAATAAAACTGTTTTTGGATTCCTTAAGCCAGATAATCGTGGAGGAGAAGTGATAACTGGTACCCTCATCTAATCCTTTATTCAGCTTTTTTTCCAAATTTGATTTTAGTTTTCAAGAAGGCCAGGATTTTATAATGTGTAGAATATACATAGCCTCTGTATTCTGTTAACTATAATATTGCAATATTATATTGGTACAATAATATTTATAATATATGTTTGTAGACTTTTAACTCTGGTTTAAAAAGATTACTTTCAAACTATACAAATGATGTCAGACTAATACTATAAATTGAGGTGAAAGGTACCAATTCTTCCTTTTAAATGCTGTTTTAAACTCACTAGAGACAGTATCACCTTGGTAGATAATATATTTTAATGTTTATAGAAAACAGACTGATTTATAAGAAGCTCTAAATAAAACTGTGATTCAGGAAGTCATTAAGAGATAAGATACAGCTGGTAGCTTCCATGATTATGTGACTAAATATCACAACATTCATACCCATGGAATGTTTAAAATAGAGGGAAGTGTAATTATAGATCAGTGAGCTTCTGTTGATGTTGTTTACTTTATGAATATTTTAAATGGGAATGTTCTAGCAATATAGGCTATTGTGTTTGAATGAGAGGAACTTTTATTATTTAAGATTATTCCTTTATGAATTACAAAACCACGAATTAGACTATAATATATTTCTTAAATTGATGAGTTTTCTGTTAGAGTTGTATTTCTCATCTCTGTGAGATGACTCTAACATCTTTTTTCCCCCCAATAGCCTCCTTTGATGGGGAAACTCATTCTGTCCAGCTCCCTCCAGTGAACAGTGCATCATTTGCTCTTCGCTTTCTGGAGACCTTCTGCCACAACATGCAGTGTGATAACCTTTTGAGTAGCCAGCCTTTTAGCTCTTCCAGGGGTAATACTCGCCCTGCAGAACATGATACAAATAAATCAGGTGAGATAAAATATAAATTTCTGTAATCTACTTCTGTTTAGCTTAAGGATCTTGTGTAATTCAGTTTTTCCTCGGGTCCTCCTCAAAGTAAACATTTTAGCCACAATGAATTAATTGGTAATGTATATCATATAGTTGTTCTTGTTCATTCAAAGTAGGAAAGTAATTTCTTACTGTATTCCTAATGAACTTGAGAATCAAACCCAGTGGGGTTATGTTTGGCTTCTTTGTGATTCTCTAGCAGAGGTATACATTTTCTATTCAATTGAAATGTGGTTTGAAAGTTATTGACCTTTATAATCCTGAGAAGTTAGCAAAGCATGTGGAGTCCATTGGCTATAAAGATGAAGATTTTGTTGCAGTCATTGAGAGATGTGACAAATGAGTGATATGCTTGAATTGAACATTTGAGACATGGTTACCTCTCTTCTGTAAGGCCCCCAAAACTGATGCCTGAAGAAGAATGCTGGTGTCAGGTCATCCTGTATCACCAAAAGCAGGATTCTTGCTTCTGACCCCTACAGTAAAAAGCCCTGGTAAGAGTAGCTTATGTTCTCAGATCTTGTAGCCCCGTGGTTTTCTGGTTAGGTGTTGATGATTCTGGAACTATAAAGAACCATCACACACTATCTGTTTAAGTCCTGGGATTATAATTCACATGCTACTCAAGACTAAAACTTTGGCCCCATCTCCAGCTACTCCTCTTTTTGGTCGTCCTGGTTATCCACACCTTTCCAATAAACCTTATCTCCTCTACTTCAGTGAAGTCTCTCATGGCCATCTCCTCCTCTCCGTGTTCTTGTTAGTTCCCTGCTTCAGTCCCCATTAACTTCTCTGATTTAGTAAAGCAGTCTCCTAACTGGAATCCTCTTTCCACTTTCTCTCTCCTGGTGTAGCTGCCCAGTGAGTCTGTTTGATATAAAGGTCTTGATACCATGACATCCTTGTGAAAGTATACATGGGGAGGCAGTGGAATGGACATGATTGGACTTTGTCAGACATGGGTTCCAATGCTGACATTATAATCTATATGCTGAAAGGGCAGGAAGTCTGACAGGCCTCAATTTTAATCCAAATCCTGCTGTGAATTAGCTGTGTACTCATCAAAGTACCAAGTCTCTTTGAGCCTTAATTTCCTCATCTGCAGAATGAATACCTTTTGAGTTGTGAGAGTAAGAGAAAATATATGTAAACTCTGAGCATGCATTATGCCTGGCATGAAACAGGGACAATAAAGGTAGCTGCCAGAATTAGGGGAAGGAGGAAGAGTGAAGGCTTATGGTTTATGTTCTCGTGTGATAGTATCCACTTGTTCCTCCTTCACAGAAACTTTTCTTCCATATAGCTCTGTTTCTCCCCCCTTCTTTGCAATATTATTGTTATATGAATTAGATTTTCATACATTATAAGTTCAACAACACGATTGTATAATCATTGCTTGATGTAGTTGTCTTTTAAATGAGAAAAGAGAAGAAAAGGGTCACAAAACAAAATACATTTGCTGGTGCTCTGCATTTCTGTCATGTGGATTTGAGCTACTCTCTAATGTCCTTTCATTTCAACCAGAAGTCCTTGAGTGTTTCTTATAGACTGGCTTTGCTAGAGAGGAATTCCCTCAACTTCTATTTCTCTGGGAATCTCTTATTTTTTCCTTCATTTTAGAAGGTCAGTTTTGCTATATATAGGCTTCTTTATGACTGATTTTTTAGAAACATTTTGTTTGTTTCAGTACTTTGAAAATTGCATCCCACTTCCTTTTGGCCTCTGGTTTCTGATTAGAAGTCAGATGCTAATCTTATCGAGAATCCTTTGTATGTGATGATTTGCTTTTCTCTTGCTGTCTTTTGCTTTTGGCATTTTTACTGTATTGTTTCTAGGTGTGAATCTCTTTGTGTTTATCCTAGTTGGAGATTTTTGAGCTTTTTGAGTGTGCAGATTAATGTTTTCCATCACATCTTGGAAGGTTTTAGCCATAATTTTTTCCCAATATTCTTTCTGTTTCCTCCTTTCTTTCCTCTCTTTCTGAGATACTCCTATTTGTGTAATTTTGTATGCTTGATGGTGTCCTACAGGCCCTGAAGATTTATTCATTTTTCTGCTTTCTTTTTTCTTTGTTTCCTGGACTGTATAATCTTTACTGCCCTTTTCTTTAAGTTTGCTGATTCTTCTGCCTGATCAAATCTGCTATTGAGCCTCTCTACTGAATTTTTCATTTCATTTTCAGCTTCTGGATTTTGGTTTGGTCCTTGTTTAAAATATTTTTATTACTTTATTCATAATCTCTATTTGATAAGACATTGTGTTTATATTTATTTTTAGTTCCTAGACATGACTTTCCTTTGTTATTAGCTGATTTAAAGTCTTTGTTTAGTAAGTCCGATTTCTGGGCTTCCTTCGGGACAGTTTCTAATGACTGATTTTCTTTCCTGTGTATGGGCCATGTTTTCTTTTCTTTCTTTCTTTTTTTTTTTTGCTTGTCTCATATTTGTTATTGACAATAGGATATTTTACCATTATTTACTGTGCCAACACCAGAAATCAGATTTCCTCTTCCCAGTGTTTGTCAGTGTTGCTGGTACTGTTCTTTGTCATATGTGGCCACTGAAATCAGCTTGAGTAGCTTAGCATGGTCAGCTAATGACTGGATAGGGATTTCCTTAAATGCCTGGAACCATTATATCTCCCTGCCTTAGCCAGGTGATTCTCTGTGTGTGTTGGCTTATAACTTCAATGCTTTAAGAGGCAGTATGTAAGTCTGCTTTGTGCAGAGCCTCAATGTCAGCCAGAGAGGAAAGATTAGGGCCTTCTCAGGTCTTCCGTGGGCAACAACCCTGCACATGTGACTTCTAGATTTCCAGGAATATGTCTCTACTCTTTTGTCGGGGGGTGGGGAGTGTTGGAGTCTCACTCTATTGCCCAGGCTGGAGTGCAATGGCATGCTTACTGCCACCTCAGCCTTCTAACCAGCTGGAACTACAGGCATGTGCCACCACGCCTGGCTAATTTTTTTTGATTTATTGTAGGAATGAGATCTCACCAAGTTGCCCAGACTGGTCTTGAACCTGTGGGTTCAGGCAGTTCTCTCACCTCAGCCTCCCAAAGTGCTGAGATTATACGCATGAGCCACCGCACCCAGCTGTCTCCACTTTTTAAAGTCCCGTATTGGACATCTTATTACCCAGGTTTTTCCTTTTAAGCTTTTTGGTCAGCCCTATTGTTAACCTGAACTGGTAATGCTGTCTCAAGCATCTTTAGAGATAAACATTGCTGTGGTTTCCCCCTCAGATGCCTTAGAGATGATGTTATTCACATAGAGCAAGCTGTGATTTGGAGCAGATAAACACAAGCCCTGAGAAGGAGCTTTTCATTGAGCTGCAAGACTGATCTACTAGTGGCAGTTCTCTGAGGATGGGGCGTTTGGAGCGCTCCAAACCCATTGTGCCCTACTCCAGTGACTACTAGGCTGCTGTTTTTCTTTCTTTTTTTTTTTTTTTTTTTTTTTAAGAAGATCCTTGTGACCTTAGGCTGCTGTTTTTCATACTTCCTGTGGTTGTGAAGCTGTGAGTTTTCTTTTAATGTTATTTTAGAGTTTTGGGGTACATATGAGAATTTACCACATCAGTAAATTGTGCAGGTGAGATTTGATCTCTAGTGGACCTGGTGAACAGTGTGTGGTTGTGTGCCCCTTATCCTTCTTCTCTTCCTTCCTCCTTTAGCAATATCCAGCATCTGTGCTCATGTGTCCAGTGATTAGTACCTACTTATGGGTGAGAACATGTGGTATTTGGTTCTTTGTTTCTATGATAGTTCACTTAGAGTGATAGTCTCCAGCTGCATACATGTTGCTACAAAGGACATGATTTTGTTCTTCTTTATGGCTATGTAGTATTCTGTCATGTATATGTACCACATTTTCTTTATCCAGGCCACTTTTGATGAACATCTGTGTTGGTTCCATGTTTTTTCCATTGTGAGTAGTGCTGCAGTGAATATATATGTGCAGATATCTTTTTGGCAGGGCAATGTATGGTAGCTCAATTTTTAGTTCTTTGAGAAAGCGCCACACTGCTTTCCACAAAGGTTGAACTAGCTTACATCCCCACCAACAATTTTGTCCACAGCCTTGCCAACACCTATTGTTTTTTGACTTTTTAATGATTGCCATCCTTACCAGTGTAAGGTAATGTCTCACTGTAGTATTGACTTGTATTTCTCTGATGACTAGTGAGACTGAACATTTTTTTCATATGTTTGTTGGCTGCTTGAATGTCTTCCTCTGAGAAGTTATGTTCATGTCCTTTGCCTACTTTTTAATGGGGTTGTTTTTTTTTTTTTCTGTCAATTTTTTGAGTTCCTTATTGATCCTGGATATTAGACCTTTGTCGGATGCATAGCTTGCAAATATTTTTTCTTATTTCATTGGTTGCATCTTTACTCTCTTGATGGTTTATTTTTCTGTGCTAAAACTTTTTAGTTTGATAAGGTTCTGCCTGTCAATCTTAGCTTTTGCTGCATTTAATTTTGAAGACTTGGCCATGAATTCACTTTCTCCCCCTCTCTCTGTGTGAACTCTTGTACAGCCAAAAAAGCTCGACCATCCCTGAAGCATGGCCTCAGCGATGAGGGGGAGCTGGAGAGGGATCCAGTCTTACCTAGCCTTCCTCAACCAGCTTTCCGCACCTTGCCCTTCTCAAAAGCCCCGGAACTAAGGAACTTTGGGAGTTTCCATATCCTCACTCACCACCTAGTCATCTGTGCACTTCTCTAGGGAAACAAAGGCCAAGCACAAAAGCCCACAGCCACCATTACAGCTGACTGTCTCCTGTAAGCACCACCTCCTGGTTGAAAATCAACTGGCACAGCCCATTACAACACCTGAGGCAATAATACAGCCCTTGAGAGGGAGATAAGAACAAAGCCCATGACATCATTCATCTTGCAGGCTAGTTGATAGATTGAGGCATTAGAGAGCTTCTCCAGAGGGTCCTCCAGAGACATTGGTGGCTGTTGGTTTTCTAGCCTACTGTGAAAATGGAGCAAGGGGGATATTAGGGTAAGTTGCCACAGAGTTTGCTGTTCTTTCTGAGATCCGGTTATTTTTCTTGAATGTACCTTCTCTGGATTGTGGCAAGCCTTTAATGAATTTCTAGAGCTTTGAAAGAGTTAATTTTGACCATTTTTACCAGTGTTTTTATGAAGGAGATTTTTGGTTATCTTTGATCAATTATCTAGGAAGTTTCCCTCCATGATGATTTGTAAAATAGCTTGTATATTGCCTGGCTATTCCTAGTTTTCTCTGTAGGAACAATTTTCTCCCTTAACTTACTGTAATACTCGGAAGCAGTAGTCAAGAGTCAATATTATGTTCGTTTCAGCCCCAGATAATAGACCATACACTAACTTCATAACCTATAACCTTTTTATAAAGAAAGCATCATTATAATACATATAAAAGTTAAGTAAAGACTTTTTCTAATCTTGCTGAGATTCTGAGGTAAATAAATATTTATAGAAAACTATAGTACTAAAATTTTTCATATTATTAAGTGGTCATTGAAAAAACCAATTATTTCTTTATTTTTCTTATTTTATTTTATTTTTTCCTTAATTTTTTTATTTTAATGATGTGGGGTACAATTCAGGGTTAAGTATACAAATGTTCATTATGCAGGTACCCTTGTTGATGAGGCATGCTCCTCCCTCACCTGGCAGTTTCCCACTACTGCCAATCCCTTTCTTATAGTATTATGATAATTGTTCAAGGTCTGCTTATAAGTGAGAACATATAGTACTCTGTTCTTTGTTTTTGTGGTAGATCACCGAGTATGATAGACTCTAAATCCATCCAAGTTGCTGCACAGTCCATATGTTTGTCCTTCTTTATGGCTGCATAATATTCCATTGTGTATATGTACCACATTTTTAAAAAAATCCAGTCCAGCTTCAATGGGCAGCATGGTTGGGTCCATGTTTTTGCTATTGTGAGTAGAGCTGCAATAAACATACGTGTGCAGGTATCTTTTTTGTAGAATGATTTACGTTCCTCCGGGTATATTCCCAGTAGGGGAATTGCGGGTCATATGGAAGATCAATTTCTAGTTCTTTCAGAAATCGCCACACTGTCTTTCAAAGAGGTTGCATCCTCTCATTTCTCTGCATCCTTGCCAGCATCTGTTGTTATTTGTTTTATTAATGATGGCCATTCTTACTGGGGCTAGGTGGTATCTCAATGTGGTTTTGATTTGCATTTTGATTTGTATTTTTCTGATGTGAGGCTGAGCAGAAAAACCCAATTATTTCTTTCCTTCGAATTGGATATCTTGAGCAACCCCTTGGGTCTCCTCCCATTCTGGGAGCTTTTCTGTTCTCTCAATAAATCTTGCTTTCTCAAAAAAAAAAAAAAAGAAGAATTGAATATCTTAATTAATTATAGAAATATTTTCATATACTGAGATATATTTTGCCTATTGGTTTTATAGTTCATGATCAAAGATAAAATACAAATGGTAAGAGCTCTCTTGGACTCATTGGTATTAACTTAGTAACTAGATTGCTAAAGGTTGCTCATTATATGATTTTGAAAGGCATTCTTGGTCCCCAGCCAAAATTTTGAACCAGATGAAATTTGACTTTGATACTTCTTCAGTGCTAGAAGGTCTATTATCAGACTTTTTAGATTTATACTTTATTTGTTCTTTTAGATGGGGGTTAAACCAAGATATTGGTTGATACTTAGGGTTCATTGATAATTAAAGCTGTCTTTACTTTTAGGATCGTGTTTTAAAGAGTGTTCCTTTAGGGAGAAATGCATTTGGTTGAATGATAAGCAAGTAGTAGAGTAGTCTTAAGGGTAGCTCTAGGCCATGATTGCTACCTTCAAAATGGAGTGTTCATTATACCATGTCTTCTCTTTACCCTCATGTAAGTAAGTTTTAACTCCTCTTGCTCATGCAGACAATTTCCCAAGGCTGTTTTGGCACATTTTAATGGATTTCCTCACTGCTTCCTGAGGTATTTAGACAGCTCTAATGGCACAAGCATAAAGAAACCTAGACATACTCCTTCTGGAAATGCCTTTAACTCTTGAATATTATTTCAGTGGAAGTATTTAGTAAGATGAAATAGAATGAAATAGACACATGTTATTCATGAACAATCAAATAATTGACAAATTGTTGATGAAGTTAGAGTAAGCAAATGGTTTAGAAACAGAAGTTTCCTGCTGATGATGCAAAAATGCTTGAGTATTATATTCGCTTATTATAACAGACACCTATATATTTTTGAAAACAGTAAAAGAAGATTTAACAGAAAAGAAAACCACCAAACGATCTCCACCGCAACCTGTACCTTACGTTGTTCCTCTCTCTCCCAAGTTCCCCAAAACAATGGCGTATGCCTCTAAAGGTAAATAGTATTTACATGTCCAAGGATTGAAATATTCTTCTACTATCACTTATGTATTATCTTTGGGTGGTGATACTGGAGGGAAGGAAGTATATTTGCCCAAATAAGCTTGGCAATTACTACTACTTTGACAGCTTTGTTGAGCACTTCATTTTCTTCAGAAGTGCATAGCTGTCAGTTCTCAAATTAAAAAAAATTGTAATAACCTTTCTGTACAACTTTATATTGCTAAAAACTGGTAGAAAAAGGAATAGAAAAACCTAGTCTGGTACCTTTCTCCAGTGAACGGGTTTACTGCCAAAGTAGTAAGCAGATGTAAGAAATCAATTGTATGATCATATATAATACATGTTGTCAAGAACTACATTCCTAAAAACAAATGTGTTCTTTTTCTTTTCTTTTCTTTTCTTTTTTTTTTTTTTGAGTTGGAGTCTCACTCAGTTGCCCAGACTGGAAGCAGTGGCCGCTCCTGGCCACTGCAGCCTCGACCTGCTGGGCTCCAGCGATCCTTTCACCTCAGCCTTCCAAATAGCTGGATTTACAGGCGCGTGCTACCACACCCGGCTAATTTTTTTGATTTATTGTCGAGATGAGGTCTCGCCAAGTTGCCCAGGCGGGTCTTGAACCCGCGGGCTCAGGCTATTCACTCACCTCGGCCTCCCAAAGCACAGGATTACAGGCTGAGCCACTGAACCTGGCCAAAAACAAATGTTTTCATGAGGTGTTTATAGTCTTGGTGGCAAGACTGGCAAGTGATAGTAAGTTACCATGAAAAATATAGATGATATCATAGAATCAATTTGGATTTTAAGACAGTGTCCGTTATTATAAGTGCCAGGGAGAGAATGGTTGTGTACTTTGTGCTAGAGGTTTGTGATCCAATATAGTATTAGTTAAGTGAACTGTTGTGGGGGATGAGATATTTGACCTTTTATTAATAGTAATAGTCTATTGAAGATAACCTCCTTTGTCTTTTTCTCTGTAGAAGAATTATTGTCTCCTGATGGAAATGGCATTCCCAAAGAGGAAAAGCTTCCTGAAGATTCCAAGACCTCATCTTTAAATTCAGGAATTTCTTTGAATCCTGCCTGTAGAAATCCTATATATATGCATGCTTCAGTTTCTGGGCATTTTTCTCAAAATGTGCCAGCCACATCAAGCTCAGCACTAGTTGGAAGCAAATCATCTCCCAAGAGCAGTCACCATGAAGTTAAATTCCAAATGCAGAGGAAAAGTGAAGGTATGTTCAAGAATAGTGATTCTTAACCCCTTGTGATATCCACACCCAGCAGCATCCCTGGAGAGTGTATGACATTGGAGAAAGTGCTACAGTAGGGGAGGCTGAGTCCTTCCTTTCATATTGCTGTCAGGGTGAAAATGTTATAGATGCTCCAGCCTTCATGACACCACAGAAGTGTCTCTGGAGTTCTGGATGACCAATGATGTCTCTCATAGAGACTTCTCAGATGAGTAGCGCTCAAGCAGTTCTAGTTTATCTTGTCCTTGGATTCTATCTGGACTCATAAATTTCTCAAGACCCAGAGGCCTGGAAAGGCATACTTACTCCCTATCCTTCTTTCTGGTATCCTTTTTTCTTTGTCTCTCTTAAGACCTTTTCTGGCCCAGCCTGTGGGTAACTCTCAGATCTGGGCTCTAGCATCCTGTTGGTGCAGCCACACCATTTCTCCATTTTTTGCATCCTCGCTCAGACCCACCAGGAAGACATGGCATGTATCAACAGGGCAGCATCCTTTTGCCATTTGGACAGTGCCTAAACAGCCTTCCATGTGCAAACAGGGTTATATATCCTGCACCTTTTTAAGAATGAAGGGTGCAGGAAAGTGAGGGTGGGAAGAAATGTTTGTTTTTTTTCCCCCTCTAGTTGGGCATCTAGGCAAGGTTCAGAAGCACAGGAAGTGGGACCCAAGTATCTTCTTTTCCTTTCATCATGGCTATTATAATATTTAAATATGCACATGCACATGGTGTGACATATTTAATGCTGTCACCCCCATCCCCCACCCTATGGAGATTGTCTGTGCTTTTAGAGTGACATGACTTACAAAAGTCTAAAAATAGATACTTATTCCATAAGGGTGGTATACCCTGAATTTTTCAGTATTTTCACAAAGTGTGAACTTTTGAAGACTGGCCTTCCCAGGAAAAGGGTCTACAATGTTACCTCTTATGCTGACTGTCTCACTTCCAAGTGTATACCTAACACAACCATGCTATAGTGGCCTGTATTTAGGCTTCAGCAGGCTAGCTTCTGGTTTTCCTAGAGTGAAAAGACTAATACTAATGACATTACTTACTAATGACTTACCAAGTGGTAATAGAAATCATCTTCTTCAATACTTTCTGGCATTATATACCAGATATGTAATATTTTATATGACCTCATATATTATATTATTGAAACAATTTCTTGAAATGTAGGGCTGGTAAACATTTTCAGGTGAGAAATATGATGTAATTTGGCTAAGGTTCCCTCGACAAGAAAGTGGCTTTGCCATTCCTTGAACCCAGACACTGGCTCCAGGGCCATACTCTTAACTCCTGTGCTGCCTGCATCTCCAAAGAATAGAAAGCATTTCAGTTTGAAACTGTCTAAAGGTGTCATTACTATTACTTTTTACGGCATTAGAACTGTTACTTAAAGCTGATTTCACCCCTGACAGCCAGTGATACTCAGACAACTTCCCATCCTGTCCTGCCCTATTATTTGAATGAAAAAAAATTACTGACCTTAATTACAGGAAAGAAATCCAATAACATTGTTGGAGAGAAATCAAATCACTTTCATTATGTTTATTTCAGAAATATTTATTATTATCCCAGTATATGAGGAGGGGACCAAAAAAAACCCCAGAATTTATTTATAAAGAATTGTGTTTTTATTCTTATGTGTTTAAATTTTAACCACCTTCAGAGTACTCTCTGTTTGATGCAATATACCTATCAAGATGCTTTTTCCACTGCTCAGAACAGTTTTGGCACTTGTCAATTTTTATGCCTTTTAGCACTTCTGCCATTTTTTGTTTCACCTCTTCCACACTGGTAAAACGTTTCCCTTGGAGAACTTTTTTCATTGGGGAAACAATAAAAGTCTCTCAGGGTGAGATTAGGTGAATAGGGAGAGTGGGGCACAGGGATAATGCTGTTTTGGGGCAAACATGCTGAAAGAATCTCCTCAAAAAAAAAAAAAATCACTGAAGTCAAACGCAGCCTCTCAAAGCAACGCTAGCTGGTACACCGAGGCTGATGGATTCCTAGAATACTTACGTGGCAGGGAAGCCTACAAGGGGCCTGACCTCCAAAAAATAATGCCAGTTTTTTTTGGGGTTGGCTCCCTCCTATATAAGACCAAGAAAAGCATGACTGAACTTCATTTTTCATATGATTCATTTGTTTCGTCATGTAATTTTTTGAATAACAGTATTGGAATGTTTGCAGATTTCTCTAATTATTTTGAAGATATGGTCCCTATTAAATTGTTTTTCCATAGTAGACTACAAATAGAAAATTTTATAGTTGTATTTTTACTATAAAATCAGGATTTTATACATGAAATCATATAGTATCACAATATATAGTTTATTTCTAGTGATCTGTTGAAGTAGTTGCATGTTATTAAAAACAAATATATCAAACTGATGATAGAAACTAGAAATCCCACAAAAATTTAAATTAGAGATATAATAAGCCTTGCAAACAATTTTTAATGTTAAATTGCTTCTTGGTTGAGTTAAAGGAGTTGGTATTTTTGTCTAAATTGTCAGAATACCTTAGGTACAGCATGGTCTACACCATCATCATTTTTCCTTGGGTTGGTAAAACCCATCAAAATTTCACAGTACATATAACAAACTTTTTTTTTCTCTGACAAGTGGAGGGGAGGATATATTTTGGTATCCAGTTTTAATTTCACATCATAGTTGTGATGTTAGAAAGAAAAGAAATAAAATTCAGAACCACACACAAAATTTAGCCACTATGATTTTTTATCTTCTATTTTTCTTTACTTTTCACCTGGGTAATACTCAAAATGTTCCTTAAATGGACACAGTCTGGATGATAGGGAAGAAAAGGTATGTCTTTGATTCATTCACACTAAAAAAACCGTCAGATTTGTGTTGACTGTCCTTGGTTAGAAAAACAAATCTTTCTTCACTTCATTTATTTATCACACACTAAGCACTCTGGTTGACTAAATGAATACTTATCAGGACACAGAGAAATTTTAACCCAATTTAGTGAAAAGCACAGCTGAAATCATTTGAAATATGAGCACTTATTTGCTTCATATCTGTTATTTCTTTTTTAACATGTAAACTTTCAACCAAAATATCTATTCCTATGTAATTAAACATGAAAGAGGAAATAAATATTAAAGTTACTTCTGACTTAGCTCAATGGAAAATATTCTTGTTTTCTTCTAAATTCAGATAAGCTTTTTTTTTTTTTTAAGGACAAGGTCTCATTATGTTGCTTAGGCTGGTCTTGAACTCTTGGACTCGAGCATTCCTCCCATCTCAGTCTTCCAAAGTGCTGGGATTCCAGGCATTAGCCACTGCACCTGGCCCAGATAAGCATTTAAACCATGAAAGATGAGAATCTAAAGAGTAAACGGGGTGCTAAAAACCTACTTACTGAATACATGGGAGGGAGCTGCAAAAAAACTAATTTAATTCTTAAAGATAGTGGGGTTATTGAAATTCTTTGATTAAAATGAACATAGTTAAGCAATTATAGAACTGTAAATTTGGAAAATTTCTGTTATATTTAACTATTAAAAAAATCAGTCTAGACAGACCAAGAGAGAGATTGAGAGAAATTCTTTAAAATATTTAAAGTAAGGGAGTCGTAGGTAGTTGAGTTTAGCTATTTTTACCCAAGTAACGAATCTTTTGCTATATTTGCTTCTGGCCAAAGAAACCTTGGATTGCTCAGTTTGTTTTATGATCTTTGAAACTTTCAGGTCACTTCTGAACCTACTTTTGTTTTGGATAGGGATGGGGGAAGTCAGATGGGACACTCTTGTATAGCCATCCTCACATCATCTTTAGCTAGGATTTCACTAGATTTGACAGTTGAAGTCCTGAGTCCTTGCTGAGGTACTTCACAGAAGTTTCCAGGAATGAGACCATTGCTCCCTGCCTAACATCTCTTCTTTCAGGAAAATGATCAAGTCAAGTATGATTTGTCTTTTCTCCCCCCCCCACCATTGAAGCTCCAAGTTATATAGCTGTACCTGACCCCAGTGTCCTGAAACAAGGCTTCTCTAAGGACCCTTCAACCTGGTCTGTGGATGAAGTGATACAGTTTATGAAACATACAGATCCTCAGATATCAGGCCCCCTCGCCGACCTCTTCAGGCAACATGTAATGTATCTTTTGATCCGTTTTTCCTGCCGTAATGCCTTTGAATGACCTCTGTGCAGGCCTTTCAGCTGGATATTGTGTGGATGGTGGGGGAACCCTATCAACTGATTTTTCCATACGTGACAAAGGTTATTTGAGGGTTACATCCTTTAACGGTAGGTTAATAGTTTGTTCTATGGGTATACAAGTGTCTGATAGTCAACCTCAAGTTCTAAGGTTAAGTATGCCTTTATTTTAAACAGAAACTCATGGATACCAGATAATATGGTTCCTTGACACAAATTGGTTAATTAAGGTAATAAATAATTTTAGGAGGATGCCTTGTGACTATAAAGTAATACTCTCATAGTGTTTTCTAACAAATCAAATTAATGATCTAATATTTGAGGTACCATTTTCAATATTGTAAGACAATCACTAATTTTAGTTTTTAACTAGCTACAGACAGCTGATTAGCTTTCAACATAAGGACAACTTTGTATAGCACATTTACAGTTTGTATTGATGTTGATATATTCCCAGTCCTTCTCAGAAAGTTAATGACCATTTGAAATTCATTTCTACCATTCATAGTCTTTGACCCTTTGTCATAGATATATGTAATATTTTATTCAACACACAGTATTTGAAATCAGATAGTGTTGATGCTTGAGGTATTTTTCAGAGATATAAGGTTAAATTTTTTTCTTCTTAAAATTTGAAGTAAATTTACAAATTATCAAATGATGCCTTACTATAAATTATATTTTAATAGTTTTCAGGAAATGACTGCATATTCAGAGAATATATATCTGGAATGTACAGCTGCCCTCTACATTACATGTTCTTATGTGTAAATAACTTTTAACAAAATATGAAGTCGTTATTAATAATTATAATATCCTTCTCTTTGTAGGAAATTGATGGGAAGGCTCTGTTCCTACTCAAGAGTGATGTGATGATGAAGTATATGGGGCTGAAGCTGGGGCCGGCTTTAAAGCTCTGTCATTACATTGAGAAACTTAAAGAAGGAAAATATACTTGAAAAGAAAGTGTCAGTCTAGATTGGAAATAATTCTCAGGTGTACATTAACCTTTTAATTTTTAAAGTATTTTTCTTCTTTTCGTAGTTTCTGTTTTATAGACAGTTCCTATAAAAATGTTTTATCAGAATTGTCAGAATTGCAGAGTTTCATTAACAGTTTATTCTACTTCTTTAAAAACCATTTAGCATATTAGTATTAGCATATTCAGATTGGTATTGTTTTATGTCTTTTTATTATTTTCACTGTACAATTTACAAATATACTTCATGCAGTAAACAGAGAAAAATCTCTGATGTTGGTTAATCTTTATATCTATTACCAAAACAGCTACATCCTAAAGGGGAAAATATCAGGGATTGACAACTTCTATAATTACATGCATGATAGTTTTTTCTCAGCAGGGAATTTAAAGATACACCTGTAGATACTATCTTTTCTTAAAAATGTTTTGGGACCTTGCTGTGTTGCCCAGGCAAATTTCTGGGCTCAAGCAATCTTCCCGTCTTGACCTCCCAAAGTGCTGGGATTGCAGGAGTGAGCCACTATTTCCAGTTTCCAATATTTTATTTGCCCGATACTCTGCAGTATTCTTTTCATGTCCTGCCAGTTTCCAGAAAGAGAGTAGCCATATGAATTGTTTTCCTTTATTTTATTATTTCCCTGTATGTTGTATTTGTTCATATTTAAAGAATAAAAAAGCAAGGTTATAAGATTTCATAAAGTGTTCTTACCAGTTTTTGATAAATTTTTAAAATCATAGGATAGAATAGTCATTTTATACAGGAGATATTTATACTACAAGGGTGGTTTGGATGCAGTCTCATTTAATTTTTTCAGTGAAATACCTGTTATCTTAAAACTTTCTATATTTTCACTAAGCTTTGACGTTTAGTTGTTAATTTCTCACATCTCTCTATGAAGATACCTGTGTCCAAATGTTTTAAAGATATATATTTTATTGTATGTGTTTATTCCTTATACTTTACCATATTTATATATTATTCTATAACTGTAGGTATACACATAAGTAAATCTTTTCTTTTTGAATTTAATATGGCACTTTGCACTGCCACAGAGGTAATGATAAACTATGTATAGAGTTAGATGTTTTTATTCCATAAAAAATATATGTCCATTGGTTGCTATCACCAGTACCTCTCAGCTTACTCTGCAGGAGATAAGAAACAATCCATAGATTGGTTTTCATACAGGGAAGTTCTCTGTCCTATGCAATGTTTCTAATTAATTTGCTTAATTCTGAGCCATTTATTCTGCTGCATTTTGAAAGATACATTAGTTTCTGACTTATTGTTTTGGCCTTTATTTCATAAGATAGAACTTTGAAAATGAAATGGTGCTATGTGTTGTTATTACTTTGTATGACTTTGTTGTAATGTTTATAAGCTATGAGAATCAATTATAAAAGTATTAGCCATTTGTTGTAAATGCCAATAAAATGTTCACCAGGGCAAAAATGTACATTTTCTTTTTAGAAAACCAAATGTACATTAGACAGGAGTACAACTATTTAAAGAATGACTTCATCTATGTATTCCTTCTATAATACAAGATTCTTACTTAAATGTGGTCTCTTTTCAAATTGTTTGTATGAAGATGCTGTACCCAGTGGAACAGTCCTCAGGTGTTTGTATAAATACTATGTTTTTCAATTTCCAAATTTAAAATCTTAATAAAGCTAAATAACTGCAACAATTAATGTCAAAGCCTCAGATTTTATTTTACTTACCATCACCATATTACATGAATGTGTGAATATGTTAGAATTGAAGAGCCACTCTGGTAACTTTGTGACTTTATTTGTCCAAATACTTTAGTTTTAAAACTTGCCCTGATTCTACTGGTAAACAGATGAGCAAAGGGCCAATTTCTTACAGGGATCTTGAACGCGACCCAGGGAGCCATACGGAGTTCAATCAATGAACTGTATCTGTGCTCAAAACCTTTGCTGCTTACATTATGGATTGTGCAAACATGCTAGAAAATGCCAGTGCCCACAGCTGTGTCATCCACTCGAAGTCCATTTGCCTGACTGGAACTCTGTCTGCTCTTTTGCCACTGGAGGCCAGAAGCTGCTTCCTGGATGACCTCTGCCTTCAGGTGGCCCAGCTTCCATGGTGGGATACCCTGGGAGGATGAGAGTTACAGTGAGGAAGCCTTAGTTATCCGACCCTGCCCCAGGGGCTGCTGCTTCCATCTGAGGAACCCAGAAGCTCTCGCTGCTGTTGCTCCACAGTGGGACCCTGGCATAGGCTCCAGGGATGATGCTCAATGGGCTGGAACAGGGTGTCCCCTTGAGATGTTGAGACTTGAGTGACCCAGCGCCCCTTTCTTCCCTATCTGGTTTGTGAAATTTTAGTCCAGAGACTATCATGCCGTTTATTCCTGTGAATTTCTAGACCTTTAAAATGCACTTCTAACTTTTTCTCTCAGTCCATCCTTCAACCCTCTGTAGTCAGCAGAATCCTGCACCTTGAGCTCTGAGACCTTCCAGGCACATCGAACTTTGCTTTGGTCTTTCATCTGTGTGATTTCTCATCATTGGAATGTCATATAGTACATGTTCTGGTGTGGGATTTCCCAGACTTTTCAGCGGAGACCTCCCTTGGTAGGCATACAAATGTCATGCCCTTCTGTAGTATTCAAAATTGTAAATACCATGACTAGTGACAGTGTAGTTGGAAGGAAAAGCAATGCTTTTTCAAGCTACAGGAGGGATTATACTTGAGGTTGGCTGAGTAAATGAAGTAGGTTTAAATTTCTAGACAAAGGGATGACTCAACATCCCACGACATCTTGAGATTATACGTATGTGACTTTTCACCTTTTATAAATTTAAGCAAAGGTCAAAACCAATATCAGATACTCATGCTAGTGGCATGTAGAATAGGCATAACATGTCTAGAAAGCAGTTTGGCATCATGTAGGAAAACCTGAAAAATGCACATGCCTATTGACTTAGTAATTTCACGACTTCAAATGTTTCCTGCAGAAGTTACTGCTGAAAGATCTAGGTATTAAGCCTATTCATTACAATCTTGTTAGTAATAGCAAATAATTAATAAAGGAGTCTACGATAGGGGAACTGTTTGAATTATGTTGCAGTCATTTAATAGAATACATTGCAGGCATGTAAAAATTATATGAAGAGGGACCCAGAAAAACCAGAATTCTCTTAGAGGGCAGTCCACTTGTAGTACAAGCTTACCCCACTAGGTAAGTATTCTGGGATCCCATCGGCATCAGTGTGCCAGTTAGTGTTATGAAAGGGTGCTTTCAGCTTCAGTGAATTTTTTTTGGAGATTGTTTCAAAGCATTTGCCCATTTTATGATGGGTGATTATGATTGCATCTGTCTACACCACACTGAGTGTTCAGCAGTTTTTGACCCAAAACGGCATGACCCTTGTGTTCCACCCTCCCTATTAACCTGATCTTGCCTTCAAGCAACTTGTTTTGTTGTTTCCTGGGATGAAAAAAGTACTCAAAGGGGAAAACATTTTGCCGATGTAGAAGAGGTGAAACAAAAAAAAACGGCAGAAGTACTAAGGCATCAAAACTGACAAGATCAAAAACTTTTGAGCAATGGAAAAAGTGTTTCAATAGGTGTATTGCATCAAACAAAGTACTTTAAAGGAGACAAGTTTAAACAGGTAAAAAAAATACACGATTTTTAACAAATTTCAGTTTCTTTTGGGTCCCCCCCTTGTATAGAAGAATGTTATTTATTCACATGGAAAGATATCCACAGGATATGTTGATCAAAGCAGGTCACACGTGAATGTGCAGCATTTCTTCTGTAGGAGATCTATTGTGTGTTTCTATACACGTGTCTCAAAGACATTTGGAAGATATACACGAACCTGGTTATAGTGGGTGTCTTGAGGTAGGTGGGATTCTGGGTGTGTTTCACTTTATTTTGCTTATCTTCACTTTTCTGATTTCCCTGCAGTGCAGCGTATTGCTTTTATGATCATTGTTCAACTACAAGAACATAGATTCCATTATGTCCAAATCACTGGAAGATAAAATAAAATATTGCCATTGAGCAGGCCACAGAAACAGCAAAAACACAAGGAAAGAGCATAACACGTGTCAGAAGACCAGTTAATTTAATGACATATAAATAGATTAAATGTCCACATTAAAAAGATTTAAGGATTGATTAATAACCATATGCTTTAATCTATTTCATCATTTGGCTTAAACATTAAAAATAAAAGATTGAGCCGGGCTCGGTGGCTCAGCCTGTAATCCCGCGCCTTTGGGAGGCTGAGGTGAGTGGATTGCCTGAGCCCGC